CTTCATGGTCAAAGTGATAGTTGGTGATATCTGGCTTCAGTATTGTTATGAAGAGTCATGTTCATATTCTAATGAAGAATACGAGGTCTACGAGTCAGTGTTTGTTTCCATCTTTCTCCTTGTTTTCACAAATCTCTTCATCAGACACAAAACTAACCAGGCACTTGTATTACTGTCAAATAGAAACTCAGTCTCTTTGTGTGATGAAAGCATACGGGTAAACTGGTGCCTAGAAGAAACTACTCCAGCTCAGAAGCTGCTTCTTTCAAGCAACTTTCATTATCTCCTGTCTTTACTACAGAAAGCAAACATTCTGCAAGATGTCTATATGATATGGTCCTGTCCACATGCCATGTGGGAATCTTTGCCAGTAGTTTTTAAAATCCTGTTGTCTACATCATTCACTGAAGATATTTATGTGAAGAAGGGAAAGAACAGGGTGACAGAAGTAAAAGGCTTTCCAGGCACATATGGATTTACCTTTGGCAAAGAGCATCAGCAAATCACAAACTTTAGGCTTATGTCACGTTCTGGGAAACAGAAACTGACATTGTTTTCCTGTGGATGGTTTTGTCCTCTAAACAATTTTGAAACTCCTTAATCTCTCAAATGGATCTGAATGCTTGCAGACAACACTCAAGAAGAACTGCTCAACGTCACGTAGAAACTTTATTTAGGCTTTTTGATGTGAGAGTAATACAGTAGAGAGTTTAAAACATGGGCTTTGGTGTTAAATAGTCCCAGGTTCAAGTTGTCTCATCATAACTGAAGGATTTGCAGAGTAAATTAGTTTCCTATGGTCACTGTAACAAATTGCCACAAATTTTAGGAGCTTTAAACAGCACAATCTTATTATCTTAGAGTTCAAGAGGCCAGAAGTCTAAAATGGGCCTATAATGATATATCCCTTCTGACAGATGCAGAGAACAATCTGTTTCTTGCCTGTTCTAGCTTCTAGAGGCTGTCTACCTTCCTTGGCTCATGGGCTCTTCCTCCAACAACTTTTAAAGTAGCAGCATAAGCATCTTTCTCTCTTTTTCATAAAGACTCTTAACAATTATGTGAACCAAGCTGGATAATCCAAAATAATCTCTACATCTCAAGATCTTTTAACTCATTTACACCTGCAAAATTCGTTTTGCCATAGAAGTACCTTTTACAATGGAGGATTTCTTTTTCTCTATATTCACAAGTTCCAAGGATTATAACTTGGACATTTTGGGGAGCCATTATTCACCTACAACAAGTGATAACCTTCAATGCCTTAGTTCTCTTATTTGTAACATGAGGATTGCAAGAGTTCCTACTATAAAGGATTGTTACAGAATTAAATAGATTTATATACATGTTACTTGGTATTACTAGGAAAAAATAATTAAATGATACAGGAGCTTTAGACACAGTAATGAGGAACATTAATCTGATCACTGTTCTTGGTGGAGCTAGACTTTAAATGATTACTTGGAAAAATAAACGTATGCTTGCAAACTGTAGTAAATGTTACTAAAGAATAGTGAAGGGTATGTTGGCAGAGAGAACTGATCTAGTCTAAAAGAACCAGAGAACAGAGAAGGCCCCTCTGAGCAAGTAGCTTTGAGTTGAGGCTTATAGATGAATAGGAATTACCTAGCTGAAATGAGATGTAGAAAAGAACACTCTGGAGAGAGAAAAATGTGTGAAAAGACCCATGGCAGGAAAGAGTGTGGCGCATTCAAGGAATTTGAAGGCATAAAAGCATGGGGGAGAGTGACAAATTCTGATGCTGCAGAAGTAGTCAGGAACCAGGGCAGGTTGTGCTCAAAAGTCTTTGTTAAGATTTGGGGGCTTAGCTTAAGACTAACAGCAAGAGTGGTGTGACCAGATTCCTTGTTAGAAGCTATTGCCCTGGGTGCTTTTGTAGAGAATGAAGGGCAAAAGTGGAAGCAGGAATTACAGGAAAGACATTTGGTTTTAGTCCAGTTGAGAGAAGACAGAGTGTCATAGACTAGGTTTCAAGGAATCACACCCTGAGAGGGAAATCAGCAGGCAGATGATTTGTTATATGGAGTGTTCTTGGGACCAATGCCTTCAGATGGGGAAAAAATAGCTTTGGGCAGAGGGACCCTAAAGGATGCTCTGAAGTGTGCATGACCCCTCAGAGTTGGGACAAGGGCAGTGGGCCTTTACCCCCTCATGCTGATCAATCACTAGATGTAGCTGCACCAGGAGGGGATGACTTTCTTCAGTGGTGGCAGTCTCTGAAAGGAGCTGACAGTTGAGCATCTGGGGAAATCTTAAAGGGAGTTAAAGGTCCTGCAGTAGGGCATCCACTACATGGAAGCTCATCTAAACAGCAGCAGTTCAGATGGAGAGAGAGTGGATAGATTGAGAAATATCTTATAGATACTACACACACACACACATACACACACACACACACATTTATATAGAGAGAGAGACTGGGAGAGGGAGACAGAGAAAAGATCTAGGTAGGAAAAAAAGAGAGGAAGAAACCAAAGATTATAGCTGGGTTTCTGACTTTTATAATTGAACAGCTATTTGTACCATATTTACATATATTTGTATTGATCAGTTAGTTAAATAAATGAGTCCATACCTCAGAAGACAAAGGCATGCTGTAATTCAAATTTAGGAGTAATCATTGAGTAGGGGATAGAAAGCATGAGCCTAGAAGAATCGCCTCAAGAAAGAGCATAGGTCGAGAAGGTCGGCAAAGTCTTGAGTAATGACAACATGAAGGTGGATTGTATAAATGTTTGGCCACTGTGTTTGGCACCTAATAAAAATTCATTAAAAATCTTTGTCAAGATTTTATAATAATAATTATTTTTAACAGTGCAGTAAATGAGTATATTTTTAATAGCCACAGAGGTGTGCCAGTGAGCCCTTTATCATTGGTAGCAGATCACAAGGTCCTTCCATGGAAAAGCTGGAACAAGCAGCCACTGCCACAGCTGGGGAATGGAACACCAGCTCACCTAGAAATGCCTTTCAAGGAAGCAACCTCCAGGTAGAGATGATGCTGGGCTCCTGTCTGTCTTCCATTCCTCACATTGGAGCCTTCAGCAATCCATTTGACTCGCCATTCACGATATGCCCACAATCTGATAAGCTCTCACCACCTGCATGATCACCTCCCTAGTGGGAACCTTCAGCATCTCTTGCCTGGCTTATTTTGACAATCACATAACTAGTCGTTTTGCTCTTTATGCAACTGCTTATCTCCCTAAAATGTATTCTCTACTAAGAAACAGTTTAAATTATAAGTAAAATCATGTCTTTTTTTCTGTTCCAAATTCTGCAAGGCTACCCATGTCCTACGGAGGAGAAGCTTAATCCATGAAAAAGCCTCTGAGGCTTTACACAGTCTGTCCCATCCTATCCCACTGTGATCTCCTTCTGACCTCATCCCCTTCCCCTCTTCTCTGGCCACTCTGCTCCAGCCACACTCATCCCCTGGCCATTCTCCGTATACTCTACACACATTCTTAACTTCTGGCCTCTGAACTTGCTGTGCCCTTTGTCTACAACACCTTTCCTCCTGATGCCTCCACAACTAATTACCTCCCCTCCTTCAAGTCTCTGTACAGTGTCACATTTACAGAAGCTGCCTCTGAGTATTCCAAAGTTCAACACACCTTCTCTCCTGAACAACTAGGCTGCATTTTGATCCATAATAGGTATTACTTTCTGACATCATCTAGATTATAGATGTGATTAAAAAAATTTTTATTACCTATTTTTCTATTATCTACTTTCCAGTAGAACGTAAACTCCATTCAAGTAACATAGGGATGTTGTGTGTGTGTGTGTGTGTGTGTGTGTGTGTGTGTGTGTGTGGTTTGGTTTGGTTTGTTTGGTTTAGTTTAGTTTACTCTTGCACTTCCAATGCCTAAAACTGTTCTAGCTAAAAGTAGACCTTTAATAAATATTGATGGATTTAATGAGCAAGTGAATGAATGAATGATGAGTCTCTAACTCAGTTTTCTAGTGAGGTACCTTCCCCACACTCTCTCCCCTTTTGCATAGTCTAGACCTAACTTGACTGATTAGAGAAAATTTTGAAGACCAGGCTTGTTTCTCTAATGGTCCCCTAGAAAGTGAACCAAGTAGAAGGTCCATGAAGAGAAGTCTCTGGGGCCCTCTGAAGTTGACATCTATCATTTGGTTGAATGTAAGTGCTCCACACACGGGGCACTGGCTGGCTGAATATTGTGGAAGGTGAGAAGAACACATTTAAATTCTTCCAAAGAAGGTACTGCTCTAACTATGTCTGGGTGGTGCAAGAATAAATATTAAAGGAAAAAGTCAATTTACTCTTTTGAGTGCTATGTCTATAAAGTACCTGATTGACTTTCCTTTCCTGCTTTACTTTTAAAATAGATATTGTTGTCCTATATACACAAGCCTAAGGAGATACTGTCTATTGCTATTATTAGTATAGGGTGCCCAGCCCCAGCCAGTTTAGTTGGTGGAACGTGCGACTGTTAATCTCAGGGTTATGAGTTCAAGCCCCATGGTGTAAAGATTAAACATAAAATCTTTAAAAAAAAAAATCAAAAAATTGTAAAGTATAATTTTATTCAGTGATTACTGATTAGCTCTCACATACAGTCTCTGAAAGGTCACAGTCTCAGTCTGTGTCATGTCAGCCAATGGCTGGTGAAGTCCCCTTTTACAATCAGATGTAGTCCAGGTTGCCGACCTTGATTCTTTGGCTTGCTCTCAGCTGCTGTGGAGTGGCCCTGTCTGGGGGTGTCCAAAGGACATGGGTGTGGGCTGCCAAATGTTTGGAATACACTTTAATGACTTCTCCGGGAATTAAAACTTTCCTGTAGTTAGCAGAAGCCTTTGTTTCTGTCGTTGTTTGGAAAGACTTTGTGAGTCTAAGCCACTTTGTTTGTGTTTTACCTTTGCCCTTTCCTGGTTTCGGCTATTTTTAAAAGCAGGGCCCAAGCCTGTATAATCCTATTGCCACAGATGAGGTAAAAAGAAATGCCCACATCCCTGCTCCATCCCTGAGCACAGCTTTGAACATTTTGCACAAGAACAGGATATTGGCAACTCAACTGTTAAACCTGTCTGTGATTATTCTTCCCTGAGATCACTCTGATGTCACCAGTGTAATTTGAGCCTGGAGCTTTTGTTCACACTTTAAATAGCAGTCCCGGAATGATTTTTGCCACAGACTCTCTGGAGAGCCCGGGAGCTGAATTCCCGAAGATCCTCACATCGATGAAAGCAAAGCCAAGCCGCCAAGCCAGCGTCATGTCCACCTCGCTGCGAGTTAGCCCGTCCATCCACGGCTACCACTTCGACACGGCCTCGCGTAAGAAGGCAGTGGCCAACATCTTTGAAAACATAGACCAAGAATCTCTGCAGAGACTTTTCAGAAACTCTGGGGACAAGAAGGCAGAGGAGAGAGCTAAGATCATTTTTGCCATAGATCAAGATCTGGAGGAGAAAACGCGAGCCCTGATGGCCCTGAAGAAGAGGACGAAAGACAAGCTTTTCCAATTTCTGAAACTGCGGAAATATTCCATCAAAGTTCACTGAGGACGAGAGGATGGATAAGGACATTATCCAAGAAGAGACATTTTAAAGACCGAAGGAGTTTGTGAGACCCAACACATGCAGCATTTTGCTGCTACCGAGCAAGCTTCTCTTTCATCAGAATTGCGGAAGCTGGAAAGGAACAGAACAAACTGGTTATAAAGACTCCAACCAATTTCACGCCTTCGCTGTGACGGTGGAGAACAAAATGCTTTCAGCAAGGATTTGAAAACTCTCCCTGCGGGCAAAGGACTGATGCCGGTGTCAAGAGAAGAGTCTGAGGGGATGTGATGAGGACTGAGAAGGAAGACAGCAAGAGGGCTGGGGAAGAACTGTTGCCAGAGTCTCTTTCTCAGGCCCTAGGACTTAAATTCAACCTGAACTTTTGTTTCCTAAGCCAAACTGGGTAGGGAGAGGGAGGAGGGAGAGGGGCAAACAGGGAGAGAGAATCTATGCTCTGATGTTTACTAAATTTTTTATTTGAATGTTCCAAAATATTGCCAGGCTTCAATGTGATCTATTGGTATAGATTGTTAGAGATCAGTAATTGACTACTTATTGGCATTTTTTGCAGTGCCTGAAAACGGGGTTAATTACAAATTATGCAATACTTTCAGCAGCTGAGTAAAACCCTTCTAGTTTGTAAAAGGTTTTAATACATTTCAAACTGGTTGCACAAAAGATAAAATAATGGGGTCCTCCAAATATCCAAAGTACTGTGAAAAATTTTTATGATTTTTTATCTTCTAACTAATGCTAAAAAAATAATCTAATTAGATTTCTTACAGTTATTGCAGTAAGCATTAGGAAATAAGTATGATATATTAAATAGTTTATGAAGATGCTATGGTTTCTATAATTTATTATACATGACAAATGATATGCAACCTTAATAAATTATTATAAACTTAGCTGCTCTTGGTCTGTGATGATTGGTCTCAAAGGAAAAAGTAAGATAGTAAATATTTATCTATTATAAGTGTGTCTAAGGATTTTTTTAAAATTTTTATTTATTTATGATAGTCACACACAGAGAGAGAGAGAGAGAGGCAGAGACATAGGCAGAGGGAGAAACAGGCTCCATGCACCAGGAGCCCGACGTGGGACTCGATCCTGAGTCTCCAGGATTGCACCCTGGGCCAAAGGCAGGCGCTAAACCGCTGGGCCACCCAGGGATCCCTGTTTCTAAGGATTTTACTCTAAAAGTAAAATGTACTTTTAGAGTGGCTCTACATTAATTGCCAAACTTCTTCAAAACAAATTCTTACATCAAATATCTAGGAATTTTCTCTGTCCTAACTTTAAAATATAAGATATAGACCTAGAAATTCATTGACTGACTCATCAACAGTGGTATTTATGTGTCCGTGGAGGGTGAGCTTTAAGAAGCTCTTTTCTCCATAATTTTGAAATTTCTCCTCTGTGGCTACAGGAGCTATGTACATTTCTACATTTATCTCTCTCAAAACAATATATTTTGAGGTTAGAGTCCAAAATATGATCAAGATTCTGTGGCTTATCAGGGTTGATTCCATATAAACCAATATGGGAATAATATTACAGTCACTTTGCTTATTTTGTCATAAAACTATAATAAAAATCTTTCTAAGAAGGCAAACATCAATGCCTGCTGGCCTTTACTAGCAGACAGAAATAAAATTTCACAGAAATTAGGCAGTTTGGAACATGTACAGAGGTTTCTAAAACTTGCTGATCATAGGAAAAGAAAACAAGTGAACGATCTAAAATCTTCTGGGAGAGTTACAAGTCAGGATTTTAAGCAATACATTTCTAAAAACGAAATGAAGTGATCAAATCTATTTTCAAATGTTAACTGATAAGTTTACTGAAGATAATATAAAATCACTCCATTAAGAAGGAATTTTTTTAAAAAAAGGAATTTTTTACGTGAGAACATCCATTAATATTAATATGCAGAAGTGTGTGCTTGTGTGTGTGCATTTTTCTGGGAGGAGTGTTTATAATTTCTATCAGATTTGCAAAGACATCCACGACACCAATATAAATTAAGAACAAAAGAGGAAGTTTTTGACAAGTGGAAGGATCAGCAACTTATGATATTTAGGGATTACCAAAGCAGAGACTGTAAAGGGGTCTTCTGCCCCATGACCTTATTTTCCTATGCTTGCAAACTGAGCTTGCTTAATGATCTCACCTAAAGTCTTCTTTGCACATGCTAAGAATAAGCTTCCTATCTCTGGTCTGGCCTGCTAGTGACACATTTTCTCTATCTAGAATCCCCAAAAGACATTGACAAACTGCTTGAGAAGGAAATTTGGTAATTTATTCCTATAGGACAGCTATCATACTCGTATTTCCTATGAAAATGTTTAACTTATTTTCTTTTTAAAGACTTTAAGCACATCTTGGATACTGAACATAGTCAAAAGGTTGAATTTATTACACTGATGCATAACTATATGCCCTGCCTCTGTTGTTTTCAATAGAGTAAAATGTTTGTCTTATCCACTTGGCAAATTAGTATGTATTAATTTAGTTCTCTTGCAATATATTATCATTATTTTCTGATTGCGAGACTATAACATGGGAAACAAATTAAAAGCAATTGGAATATGACCCACAACACAGTGTAGAGAAGAATCCCAGCAGATTATTGCACGAACATGCTGTCTTTCTTCTTCAGGGAGAACAAAAGTTAGAATCACAAGGGTGATTTTTAGTTTCATGCTTTCATCATTTAATGTGAAGTGACAATAAACATCATTAGAATAGGTAGAACTAGTTCAGAAATCCTTCTATGGCACAGGGATGGCCAAATATTTCTCAAGGCATCTCATTGTAATAGAAGATGTAAAAGTAAAAACACAAAGGTGAAATGGGTCGTTAATAATATTTATATTATTAGGATCATAATAATGACAACTAAATTTAATTAAGTATTTACTATTTGGCAGACAGCATAGACAATTTTCTTTGCGTTTTTGAGGCATAAATCAGTATTGTGACATAAGAGCATGTGTGTATATACATGTGCATATGTGTATAGCATGACACTGAAGCACAGATTGATGAAGTGGCATGCTCAAGAACATACAGCTAATGAGGCCAGGAGTCAAATACAGCCATTCTTGCTCCAAAGCTTCATTCCTCACCACTAGGTTAGACTGCTTCTCTAGGAGAAACTTAGCTTCTCTTTTTTCCTATAAAATGACAATTACTTAGAAGCTAGTAAGTCAGAAAGATAGGAAGGCACAGCCTCTGAGAAATCACTTTTATCTGCTCTGTGTCTCTTCATCTGTTTATTTGGCACTTGTTCTATATAGGAAAGCCTCATAGTTTAGTCATTTTAATTGTGTCAAGGGTTCTTAGATGTAGCCTTTCAAGTTTGCAGTTAAAATAACACTTGGGTTAGCACTTGGAACAAAAGATCGCATCTAATGTCTCTTCTAGTTGTCAATCAACATTTTGGGCCTCCGTTTTCTCATTAGGGGAAATCAGAAACTATCGATTCATGATATTATTGCTCAGAGTAGCGCTCCTCTGTTCATCACTGTGGCCTACAGCAAAGGACGGTTTATATCTATAGGTTGCTCCAACAGATGGCATTTACTGAGAAATGGGCCTGGGATATAGGAGTGCCTGCTATTCCCGCCCGCCCGCCCCCCCCCCCGCACCCCCATGTTAGAGAGTAGTCAGAGGATGCAATTGATGTTCCCTTGAAAGCTTTATCTAGTAAATGAATGATGAAGCCACCGTCTAGGTATTACGTGGCCTTTCTGAGTGCCTCAAAACCCTTCTAAACTCCACATTGGGATTTCCCAAGATGGCATAATGCTTGGTTAATTCCCTTTCTTACACTTAGAGAGTTGTAGGGTAAAATTAGGATTTGCATCTTATACGTTCATGCAACATAAATATAGTAAACGTCCATATGTGTAAACCTCCATCGTCAGAATGGATCCTTGTTCTCCTTATCAGAGAAGCCAGGAAATATTTTAAAATAAATATGATATGGTGGGATACATGACAGGAGTTTAAACAGGATGCCATGAGAGCACAGGTATGTGTGCATATGGGTTGGTCTGTGTCTATTTGTGTGTGTTTGGAGAGTAGCAGTAGGAGAAATCTAACCTAACCTAGGGAGATCCTAGAAGAGTTCATGGAGAATTTTCAAAGTAGGATTTAGTTAGGAGAGTGGACAGAGAAAATTGTATTTCTGCATCTGGGTATAATGTTTACAAAAGCAGGAGGAAAGAATGTGACTTCTCTGAGAATCTCTAAGCAGTTCTTGTGCCTAGGGACCTAAGCATTTGGGGGCAATAATTAGAAAGGCAACTGGGTTTTAAATGACAAGCTTGAGTTTAATTTTATTCTGAAGGCAATAGAGAATCAGTAAGGACTTTAAATAAACGAGTGACACTTACTGCCTAACTACTATACATCGGACCCTAGGAAAAGATATGATTAATATTTTGAAAAATAATGCATTCCTTTCCATCTGGCTGTAGCCATCAGTTCAAAGGTGAACAAAGATAGGTGCTTACAAGTACATCCGGGAGCTATGGAGGAAGAAGCTGATGTTATGTCATATACTGGACTCATGTGCAACATGATGACTGCAAACACCTGGTTCCTAAGGGTACGACCTGCTGTAAGCCTGCCCATCATGCTATTAACCAGCTAGAGTTTGCCCCAAGCCTCAGTCTGTTGCAGAGGAGCAAGCTGGAAGTCACTGTAGGGCCCTGAGAACCCTGAATTCTTACTGGGGTGGTAAAGATTCCATGTACAAATTCTTTGAGGTTAACATCATTAATCCATTCCATAAAGCTACCAGAAGAAATTCTGACACCCAGTGGATCACCAAACCAGTCCACCAGCACAGGGAAATGAGAGAACTGACATCTGCAGGTGGCAAGAGCTGTGACCTGGGCAAGGGTCACAAGTTCCTCCACGCTATTGGTTGTCCTCGCTGTAGGCCATGGAGAAGACACAATTCCTTCTAGCTCCATCATTACTGCTAATGTTAAGTAATGTATGCAAAGTTCTTTCCTAATAAGCAATGTAGGACCAAAAAAGAAAGAAAAAGAATGCACTCACTGTCTAGCAGCTGAACACATGGTTAGATTCTATCTACAGTGATTCTTCCAGAACTCTGTTGCCTCACCGTTAATCTACTGAGGTGAAAAGCCACAATAGGATGTTTGCCGCTCTGTAATCAAAGCTGAGCTGTGTGGAAGCTGAGGGTGAATGGAAGGGATGATGAGGAAAAGGGTAGAAAGGCCAGATTGGGGGAAACTCAAACTAGTAAAGTCTCTAATTATATTTTTTAGAAATTGCAACTATGTTTGAACCTTATCATGAGTCTTATTATTTAACAGGTATTATAAAGAAATGGCTACTAACCTCTCTCTTCATTTAAGTATCTTTTCTACAAAGTTTCCAGATATTTTAAGTGATTATTACAGACATACACAAATGTGTTCTATTTTAATGTATGTACCCAAGATTAGCAAAATTGTTTTACAGAATTTTGGAAATAAACATCCTATTCCAGTATGGATCAGCAGTGGTTCTAAAAAGGTCCGAAAAACTTTGGTTGAGTAGTCAGAGGAGTTTTGTTGTAGCCACTTTTCTCTTCCCTACCCCTTATACACACCGGCTCCCCATCTGCACATGTGCACACGTACAAACACATACATGCACACACATGCACACACACATATTGACATATAAGCACACATGCTTACACACAACACATATACATACACATGTGCATATTTATACATGTCCACACATTGGCATACACATATATACACATACACAAGTACATGCACATACACACATATACACACCATTTATAGTCCTAAGAGAGCATAGTGATTAGTGTTCTTGAGCCTCTCTGTCCTCATCTGTGGCAGCAGACAAGGTTGAGCAAATAAATACCACCAGACTGAGGCAAGACGCTCTAAGATTTTTCCCAACTGAGCTTTAAGCAAATTTCTTTTTTATCTCCAGATTTCATCTGTGAAGGGGAAAAAAACTTAGATCTGACAGGACCATGTCTGTGACCTTTTCTGATCTCAGATTTGACATAAATGGGAACTAATAACTCTACCACCTTCAATGGTAGGACTTCTTTCTGGATCAGTTGGCATTTCACAGGTCACAGGAATTTCTCTTAAATGAAACAAAAATGAAAATAAGAAGTTTTGATTATTAATCATGGTTGCTGAGGGCAGAAGGTGAGGAAAATAACTTTCTGTGGGTACATCTATGTTTTTGAATAGCCTAACTCTTTTCTAGTTGGTGGATACCCATGCTGGGGCCAGCTGGTAGTAGTTTGACATGCTCTTCAACATCCCTGCAATGACAGAGCCACTGAGACCATCTTGACAGTACATAAGAATAATAATCATTTGTAGCATTTTAAAAATATAGATTCCTGGGGATTCCTAGGTGGCTCAGAGGTTTAGCACCTGCCTTTGGCCCAGGGCATGGTCCTGGAGTCCTGGGATTGAGTCCCACGTCGGGCTCCCTGCATGGAGCCTGCTTCTCCCTCTGCCTGTGTCTCTGCCCCTGTGTGTGTGTGTGTGTGTGTGATGAATAAATAAACAAAAATAGATTCCTTGTCCGAAC